GCTCTCCATATGAAAGTCCGGCGGGAATCAGACTGCAAACTAAGCCTGGACTCGTCGGAAAACATCACACAAGACCACTGTTGCGGTGTCCACAATGCATGCTCTCTACTCCAGGTTAATCGCAGGCGACAGTGAGTTGCGGTAAGTGAAACACATCTGACAGGCCTAAGAGCATATAGACCAATGTGCCCTAAGCGTCTGTACACGGTCTGCCTTGAAACTGTCGTACCGGTAGCTGAAGAGAGCTGACGAGCCAGGTTTGATGCTGTGCTCCGTCTGTTTCTTATTGGCAGTAACTGCTAAATACCGGTCCTCATTCGGCGTTGTAACTCGGGGGCGACCTGTGCTGTAACATCTACTCACATTACCATCCTCTTGGAATCGTTGCCAAAGACTGAAGAGGACACTCTGGGCGATTCTAAGTTCCTCGGATACTTCCAGCTCGGTACGTCCACATTCCAGTCGTCCGATAATTCTACCCCGTAAAAAAACATCCAAATGCTTCCTTTGTGCCATAACTATGCGGTTATTGCACTGAAAGGCTTTTAAAGCGCTTGTGAACAATTTTACTTCTTTGCCACCATTCCTTATATACCCGTCTCTTACACTCTCGTCATTACATTCAAGATTTGTGTGATAATTCTGCAGGTGAAATTTTTATTTTAGATTTTTATTTTGGTTTGAGGATTAAATTTAGTTAATCAATTTTAAAAACTTGCAAATATTGAAATATTGCTATCTTTTATTTAATCAAAATAATTAAACCATGCTGGTTCTAATATTGATTTTATATACAAGGTTATCCTTGCAGAATTTAATTAATCTTCATGGAACGCTATACTTTTTTATCAATTTTTATTAAAGTTTAATTCAAAGATAATGTAAAAAAAGCAACATAAAAAAAAATAGATAATTAAGACTTCTCACAAATAATTAAAGAATATGAGTAGCTTTCCAGAAAGTTATTCTTTTTGAGACGTCTAATATAATGAACATTAGACCTTGGTCTTGTAAACATATGTAATTCAATAAAAAAAATAACGATTGCATATCGTGCAAATTTAATTTTTTTAAGTAAAATACTTCTTTAAAAGCTTTTGAGAATTTATTACTATTTTCAAAACGAAATGTTAACAAATTTATATACAATGAGTCGTAAAATATTCTGCCATCCTTCATGCCTTATAAATGTAACTAATTGAAAAGTACAAAAAAGTAGAAAAACACAAAAATATTCTTGATATTTTACAGTTATAGTTGATGCTGTAAATAAAAATGAACTTAATATCTATGAACTATAAAGTTATTAAAAACCCCATAAAATATTCTGCTATTTGTTTAAAAAATAGAAAATTTAATAATCACATGAAAATAATAATTTCTATTGTTTGTATAGTTTTTTCTATCGTCCCTTAACCCTGCAATGCTCGTGGGTACAAAATAAATGCGCCCGGTGTCTCAGAGCATATCCTGTTTTCCCCATGTAAAATTGTGGGAATATTTTTTTTAATTCATTGACATTAAATAGAGTTACGTGCTAGTTTGTGCTGCCATCTACCATCCTGTCAACTAAACACAAATACGTAGAAAGCATTTATTTTTTAATTGTATCGAAGACTGGGTCGTAATGACCATTTCCCTGTGAGAAGTCCAAAGTGGGTTGCACAGACGAACGCTGTTATTCATTTAGCACTACTCAGGGGCCACGTGTAGCTTGAAGATATGCTACGGAAGCGAGTAACACTACCTCTACAACGCTCTACGATCATATTAGGCCGGGACCTACTGTTTAAAATGGATTCCGAGCCACAACAAATATACATGGCACCATTAGGACTCGAACCCGAAACCTATGGCACCGAGCTCCAGAGCACTAGTCACTCGAACAGGATTTGATACCGACGGGAAAAGGTTGATCATTGATTTCAGACGACTCACATTCCCAAGGGGTGGAAGTTTTTACTACATGCACTACACATTCAAAACCACTATGAAATGAAATATATCAAAATTAAAAATAATTTTTACATTAAAACATCAAATATTATTAAATATATGTCTGCAAGACACTTGTGTCCTTTACTTATATATATATATATATATATATTATACATATTCACATTGTACACGATATATATATATATACACACATTGGAAATCACCATTGCGATTTAACTATTTGGAAATGACAAAGGGCATATGTCTTCTCGTCTCCATTGAAGGTCAAACTCTTAATGTGGCCAGTCCTTAGTCTAGCTAAAACCGTCTGAGCAGGTCTAGGACAGGAGCACTGTATGGACATACCAGGATATTTAGCGGCGTACCATGCATGAATTGGTGGCGACCTCCAAGAGGTATTCACTCTGGCTAAAGTCATGGAATGAACCTCTGAAGCTAACAGATTGGAAGAAGAAGCTTTGGGAAGTTCGCAACCTTCCCTAGCGATTGTTCCCCTTTGTCATTGTTCGACCATCGCGTCTCCCTCTCATCTCATAGATTGTATTGGTGCCTCTGTGAGGCAACTGTTGAATGAGGGGAGGACCTTTTACGATCTATTGATGCAGCATGATCTACTGGACTTGGTTTAGGATTCTAAATCAAGGGGATAAGCAACAACAACACTATTTGGAAATAAAAAAAAATTCAGAATTGCTCAATTCATTTTAACATCCCCCCCCTTACGCATTTTCCACTTGAAGGAAATTTAACAAGAACAGTCCAAATTCTTTGAATTGAATTTGTTTTTCTAAACAATTAGTTTGTGATTATAATTCGAATCAATATTGTTAAATCAAAATTGCAGCATCGTGTCTTCATATTCATATCTAATACATTTAAAAGATGTATTATGTATATTATGCATTTTAATTGTATATAAAGTATAGTTCATATTTTAATGCAATAAATTATTTTTATATAATAAAAACATACTTTTTTTTTTTTTATTTAACAAAATATACTGGATTTTTTTCCAGCAATGATTTAAACGATGTTTAGGAATATTCTGAAGTAACTGATAGTTTTTGAAATTTTTTTTATTTGATTTTGTTTTTGAAATTTTTTACTTGTTGTAGAAAACTCAATTATTGGACATTTTTATTAATTAAAACTGGTCATAACAATTCATCAATGTCTGAATGATAATATCTGAAATCATGATAATGAGAAAAGTTTCCCACATGTTACAGATTTTACTATATAATATATTTTAAATTGCATTTAAAATATATTTTATCTTTGTAAACTTAAATAAGAATTTTCGATATTATTTCTTCACAAACAAACTAACTAACAAACTAACTTTCACAAACTAATTGTTTACACTAAATACTATGGCATTTTTTCATAAAGATATATTAAATGAAAAATTGAAAAGATATAATGGAAAATCAAACCCAGGATCAATTTTTCTTCAGATTTATTTTACTCGCTTCCTATTTCCTTTTTATGCGAAGAGAAATAGGAGATATCATTGGAAAAATGAATCTTAAATTGCTTTTAAGTCTTTCCTACTTTTTTTGCTAAAAATCTGATAGTTTGATTCTTTTTTTTTTTTATTTCTTTGCAATATCATATTTGGAGAATTTCTCCTGAAACCTCAGTTTTTCCTTTTAGTAAAACATTTAATGCACATTTCTACGAAAGAGAAATCTCACACAAAAAGGACACATATGTCATATGCCACTTAACGGTTTCTTTTCAGAAATGACAGGTAAGAATAAAAATAGTAAATGGCATTTATTTTTTTCCAGAAAAAAGCATATTTTACAGGAATTTCTTGGACATTTATGTTGCTTGTAAGTATTTCACTACATTTATATATTTAATTAAATTTTTAGCGGTTAATATTGAGAATAGCTTAATCATCTATCGATTTTTTTTTTTATTTAAAACTATGTTCAAAAACCTTTAATTCATTTATCAATCGGCGGATATTTCTGAAACATTAAATTGGAATAATTATGTTTACTTTTTTTAATTCTATAAGAATTTCCGGTTGTTGAAAGTATTTAATTACAAAATTTAATGCTAGCTAAGAACTTTTATTTGTTTACTTTTTATTTTTATAAATCTGTTTCATTATTGCATTTTTATTAATTAAAATTTAATAGGAGGAAAATATTAGGTATTTAAAGTACAAGCATTGCATAATTATGGTTAAAAAATTGATTAAAACTGTGAAAATTATTTATTACGAAAAATTAAATTATTCAGGGATTAATATTTATAAAATTTTCAATAGTGTTTCAATAGACATTTATTAAAGTTATATTTTTAATTTAAATACGCTATATTTACATTTTTTTATTAAGTCTACCGTCTTTTAAATCAATTATTATGTGAATGAAAGGAAAATGAAAGGAATTTTGATTATTCTTTTAAATTGTAAAAGGAAATTAAAAAATTGACCTTATTTGACCAAAAACATTGCTTGATTATATATAAATAACTTTGTTTTTGAAAGAAATATTTTTTATTTTATTATTTTAGATTAAAGATGAATTTTAATTATAATTGTTTATAACTTTTACTCAGCAAGGGGAAATGTTTTCTAAATTGGTTAAATATGTTTGTAACCGTGCTTCCGGCTACACAATGGCAAGAGCCCCTCTCCCCTTTGGCGTTCAGGAGAAATGGTCAGTCGACCTCTAGATTCTCACCTGAGAGGAAGTAACAACGCAACCTGCTCTAACGCTATAAGAATCGTGTTGTTTGTTGTTTCTAATCCCACTTGGCTGGCCAAGCCCACGAGCCCATACGTACTCAGGATTGAAGGGGAAGGAAGCAGCTTCTGTTGTGATGGAGCACCCGTAGGTAGAAGCCTGACTTTTGCTCCGTGACGCTCTTACAGTCATAGGAGACCGGGACCTACGGCTTAAAGTGGATTCCGAACCACTACAAACATCCATGGCACCGCCGGGATTCGAACCCGAAACCTGTGGCACCGAGCGCCAGAGCGCTAGACACTCGGCCATTCAGGTCCCAAATGTGTGACTGCCAACGGCACGCGGTGTTCCCAGGTGGTCACCCATGTACTGACCCAAGTACTGACAGCGCCCAATGATGCTAGACTTCGGTGACCTAACGAGAACCGGTAATAAGAATCGTTTAGTGTATAATCTCTCATCGCGATAGGAAATATATTTAGCTCATCCCATAGTATTAATTGGCGTAGAGATTCTCATTCGGAGAGGAAGTATATTTCGCGTAGCTGAGTTTCAGTTTTTCGGCGTAGAAATAGAGTCCTTCCGCGAATCTATAATTATCTGTCTTTAAATGTGTTAACTATTGTATATCTCTAATTGTATGTGTGTAATGTTTGGCCCAATTGACAATCTGATTGCCCAGCCCGCACACTGCAGGTTTCATTTTTAGTCTTGTTAAATATTGAATCAAATTTAGTGCATAAAAATGTTTTAAGTGTTAAATTTTTTTTTTTTTTTTTTTTCTTCTTCCAAAAAAAATTGTGTTTGATGATAAGATTTAAATTTGGCTTCAGCAAGGATATGTAAAGATGGTAGAACAAATGAAAAATGTATTTTAAAATTTATTAATTCAATGATTTAAAAAAAAATATATTATTCTCTTACTTGGAATTTTTAAACTTATTTTTACTTTTTTTTTACAAACTTATTATTCACCTTTTGATATGTTTATTGATTGTTATATGTTCTCAAGTTCAATCCAATATGAAGCACTTCAATTGGAGAAAAGGATTGAAAATCGTTCTGAAACGATCTGTGGTGACTGGAGTACCAGAATTGGTGGAAGCCAGAAATGTTTCAAGATTTTTGAGGTTATGTGTGCTCATCTTCTGCCTTTGTGGATTCCTCTATTACACCACAGCCTTCTTGATGAAGTATTGGCAGTATCCAACAGTCATGGATGTGGTTGTTGATTATCCTGAAGAGATAGAGTTGCCAGCAGTCACAATTTGCGATTATAATGCGTAATATTAAATTTTCTGTATAATTATCACTAAATTCTTCTGTATAATTAAAAAATTTTAACTCTAAAGAACCAAATTCTTCTGTATAATTAAGAATTTTTAATTTTAAAGAACCAAATTCTTCTGCATAATTAAGAATTTTTAATTTCTAAAAAACCAAATTCTTCTGTATAATTAAGAATTTTTAATTCAAAAGAAAATTCTTAAATATAATTAAAAATGGTTAGTTCTAAAGACCCAAATTCCTCTGTATAATTAAGAATTTTAATGTGTAAAGAATCAAATTCTTCTGTATAATTAAGAATTTTTAATTGCTAAAGAACCGAATCCTTCTGTATAATTAAGAATTTTTAATCGCTAAAGAACCAAATTTTTCTGTATAATTAAGAATTTTTAAGTTCAAAAGAACCAAATTCTTCTGCATAATTAAGAATCTTTAATTTCTAAAAAACCAAATTCTTCTGTATAATTAAGAATTTTTAATTTCTAAATTCTTAAATTAATTAGTAAATTTCTAATTCTAATTTCTAAATTTCTAATTCTTTAGATTCTTCTGTATAATTAAGAATTATTAATTTCTAAAGAACTGTATAATTAAGAATTTTTAATCCCTAAAGAACCAAATTCTTCTGTATAATTAAGAATTTTTAATTCAAAAGAACCAAATTCTTCTGTATAATTAAAAATGGTTAGTTCTAAAGACCCAAATTCCTCTGTATAATTATAAATTTTAATTTGTAAAGAACCAAATTCTTCTGTATAATTAAGAATTTTTAATTGCTAATGGACCGAATCCTTCTGTATAATTAAGAATTTTTAATCCCTAAAGAACCAAATTTTTCTGTATAATTAAGAATTTTTAAGTTCTAAAGAACCATGTTCTTCTGCATAATTAAAAAATTTTAATTCAAAAGAACCAAATTCTTCTGTATAAATAAGAATGTTTAATTCTAAAGAACCAAATTCTTCTGTGCAATTAAGAATGTTTAATTGCTAAAGAACCAAATTCTTCTGTACAATTAAGAATGTTTAATTTTTAAAGAACCAAATTCTTCTGTATAATTAAGAATGTTTAGCTCTAAAGATCCAAATTCTTCTGTATAATTAGGATTTTTTAATTTTTAAGGAACCGAATTCTTCTGTATAATTAAGAATTTTTAATTGCTAAAGAACCAAATTCTTTTGTATAATTAAGAATGTTTAATTTCCAAAGAATTTAAAACTAAATCTATATCAAAGTATCTTAGAACAAAAATAGTGTTCTTAATGTTATAGTGCAATTTATATTGTTTTATAAAAGGCATTTGTTTAAACATTTTGGAAATAATATTAAATACATTTTATATTTTTACAGGATTCAATCAACATTATTTTGTTCCATGTATCCGGAATCATGTTCTCCTTATAAAAATTATTCAGAATTTTGCAAGGAATATTTTATTTTTGTGACAGAAACTACAAGTATGATAATAACATTAGTGTGAGTATTTCATAAAATTAATTTGTGAACTGTTTGCTGATTTCTAATTATATCAATCATTATTCCAAACCACAGACAAACATCCAAGCCACTACAAGAATTCGAACCTGAAGCCTGTGATACCAATGGCCAGAGTGCTGGGCAATTGGTATCACAGGCTTCAGGTTCGAATTCTTGTAGTGGCTTGGATGTTTGTCTGTGGTTCTGAATCCATGTTACGGTCTAATTAGCCAAAAGTGTACACAAAATGAAAGTAGAGCGACAAACCAAATCAATCACCTCTATAATGGTAGAAATGGAACAGATTCAAAGTTATATAATTTACAACACAGGGAAGGTCCTACTATATTGCACCCACATTTCAATGCCTCAATTTTGAACAATACTCTTAAGTCCGCACCTTTCTTCTAGTTCAACAGATTTATCATAGCCCTTCTTGGCATAGGTATGGAAGTTTTTGGTATCGCTTGGTACAGAAACACAACATGATATTTACCAGACCACCCCGGTCTGAACTTAAAAACAGTGTGTGATATTAGTTTAATATTATGCTTGATGTTTAATAAACTTGTATTTCAATGCATTAATAAATAGCTGGACTCAACGATTTAGGTATCTGCTGTATCTCCCTACGAATTGCCTAAATTGAGTAGAGCTGAATACAGATATATGGGTGTGGAAACCGATAACTTAATTAAAAAGTATCAGCTGATCCATCCGTCCAAGGTCCGCACCTTCCTTCTAGGCCAACAGATTTATCATGGCCCTTCTTGGCATAAGTGCAGAAGTTTTTGGTATGGCTTTATCAGCTTTCGGACATGACTCTCTTAGTTCAGAAGCACAACATGATATCTAACAGGCCACACCGACCTGAACTTAAAAACAGCATGCGATATTAATTTAATATGTTTAATAAATCTGCATTTCAATAAATTCATAAATAGCTTGAATCAACTATTTAGGTACCTGCTGTGTCTCCCTATGAATTGCCTAAATTGAGCAGAGCTGAATACAGATATATGGGTGTTGAATCTGATGACTTAATTGAAGAGTGTCAGCTGATCCATCCCTCATATGGCTCTGATAGATGTGGGTAAGTTTCCAATTATCAAAACCGTTTTTTCCTTGAAATATTTCACATAACTACTCAAAGAATTTTAAATTCCAATATAAAATCCTACTTTAATATTAATAAAATGACATAATTTTCTTAACTGAAAAATCATGTTTAGTGCTGAAGCAGTATTAAATGCTTAAAGTAAACCGGGAAAAAATATTTATTAGGAAATAAAGCGCAATTCAATAAATCCATGCAGTTCAACTTGGCCCAAATTCAGTTAGTAAAACATCTAATGATTCAGTCTATTAAATTCCCCGTGTGGATCGGGTCAGAATAGCCACACTATAGCTCATGCAGTCGTGGCATGCCATGTAATCAGAATAGCCACACTGTAGCCCATGCAGTCGTAGTATGGTATGTAGTCGCATGTCGTAGCATGTAGTCAGAATAGCCACATTGTAGCTCATGCAGTCGTAGCATATAGTTAGAATAGCCACACTGTAGCTTATGCAGTCGTAACATGGCATGTAGTTGCATGTCGTAGCGTGTATTCAGAATAGCCACACTTTAGCTCATGCAGTCGTAGTATGTAGTCAGAATAGCCACATTGTAGCTTATGCAGTCGTAACAAGGCATGCAGTTGCATGTCGTAGCGTGTAGTCAGAATAGCCACACTTTAGACCATGCAGTCGTAGCATGGCATGCAGTTGCATGTCGTAGCGTGTAGTCAGAATAGCCACACTATAGCTCAAGCAGTCGTAGCATTTAGTCAGAATAGTCACACTATTGCACATGCAGTCGTAACACGACATGTAATCAGAATAGCCACACTGTAGCCCATTCAGTCGCAGAAGGCGACTAAAATGGGTACCTAATGCCCGGCGGTATAACTGCGTGAGTAATAAAGTCAAACTTCTCCCTTTGAGTGCCCCTTGTCTTTGTGTCACAAGGTCACGGACAAAATGAAAATGACATATTTTACCCTTTATGACTCGTCGGTTTAAGACACACGAGTTCTTGGACTTGGTCTATATGTTGCTGTCGGCCAAGTGAGATAAGAAACACAGCCTATTAAATATATTACCAAGGTATTCACTTATTAAAAATACACCAATATGCAAAAGAAAATATTTAAAAGTCGCATATTGGATACATAATAGCTTTATACCGGACATTATTGTTAGCATTGATATACTGTCATGCAAATAATTCAATTTAGATTTCTAATGTACCAAATTCACTGAATTTATTCACCCATGAGCAACGATAAAAAAAGCAAATAAGTAACAAACTTTCCTGTTGTAAAAAAAAAAGGGAAAAACTTATTGAACTGAAATTATTTTTAATTTCCTCACATGAAAAAAAATTAAAAAATGGAAATAATGTTCACTATAATTTTTTTCTTTTACTCAAAAGGCATAGCGTTATGTGGATTCCAGTATTTGACAGCATGGGTTTACCTAACAATTGCTATGCAATAAACAGCTTCATCGGTAATCTTTCTATTAAACCTTATACTACATTGTCAAAAGCATGTAAGTACATTTTCAACTTATATATTTTTTTATATTTCATTTATAATATTAATTTGATATTTTAGCAATCCAGAT